CCTATAGAACACATAGAGCGAAAATGCCAAGACCTAACTTTGCCAAATGGGGTTATTTTGCCCAAGTGTTGGGTCTTTCCCTGCTCGGTAGACTGCCAGCACTTGGAAAACACACCAAAACAAAGGAAAAATGATTACAGCAAAAATGCAAGTTTCCTATAGGACACATAGAGTGATAATGCCAAGATCTAACTTTGACAAATGGAGTTATTTTGCCCAAGTGTTGTTTCTTTTCCTGCTCGGTAGACCGTCACTTGGAAAAACACACCAAAGCAAAGGAAAAACGATTACAGAAAAAATGCAAGTTTGCTATAGGACACATAGAGCAAAAATGCCCAGACCTAACTTTGCCGAATAAAGTTATTTTGCCTAAGTGTTGGGTCTTTTTTCTGCTCGCTAGACCGTCAGCACATGGAAAAACACACCAAAGCAAAGGAAAAACGATTACAGCAAAATGCAAGTTTCCTATAGGACACATAGAGCGAAAATGCCAAGACCTAACTTTGCCAAATAAAGTTATTTTGCCCAAATGTTGGGTCTTTTCCTGCTCGGTAGACCGTCAGCACTTGCAAAAACACACCAAAGCAAAGGAAAAACGATTACAGCAAAATGCAAGTTTCCTATAGGACACATAGAGCGAAAATGCCAAGACCTAACTTTACCAAGTGGGGTTATTTTGGCCAAGTGTTGGGTCTTTTCCTGCTCGGTAGACCGTCAGCACTTGGAAAAACACACAAAAGCAATGGAAAAACAATTACAGCAAAAATGCAAGTTAAGCAAAGGAAAATCTATTACAGCAAAATGCAAGATTCCTATAGACCACATAGAGCGAAAATGCCACGACCTAACTTTGCCAAATGGAGTTATTTTGCCCAAGTGTTGGATCTTTTTCTGCTCGGTAGACCGTCAGCTCTTGGAAAAACACACCAAAGCAGCGTAAAAACGATTACAGCAAAATGCAAGTTTCCTACAGGACACATAGACCGAAAATGCCAAACTTAGCTTTGCCAAATGGGGTTATTTTGCCCAAGTGTTGGGTCTTTTCCTGCTCGGTAGACCGTGAGCACTTGCAAAAAGACACCAAAGGAAAGGAAAAACGATTGTAGCAAAAATGCAAGTTTCCTATAGGACACATAGAGCGAAAATGCCAAGACCTGACTTTGACAAATGGTGTTATTTTGCCCAAGTGTTGGGTCTTTTCCTGCTCGGTAGATCGTCAGCACTTGGAAAAACACACCAAAGCAAAGGAAAAACGATTACTGCAAAAATGCAAGTTTCCTGTAGGACACATAGGGCGAAAATGCCAAGACCTGACTTTGACAAATGGGGTTATTTTGCCCAAGTGTTGGGTCTTTTCCTGCTCGGTAGATCGTCAGCACTTGGCAAAACACACCAAAGCAAAGGAAAAACGATTACTGCAAAAATGCAAGTTTCCTATTGAACACATAGAGCGAAAATGCCAAGACCTAACTTTGCCAAGTGGGGTTATTTTGCCCAAGTGTTGGGTCTTTTCCTGCTCGGTAGACCGGCAGCACTTGGAAAACACACCAAAGCAAAGGAAAAACGATTACAGCAAAAATGCAAGTTTCCTATAGGACACATAGAGCAAAAATGCCAAGACCTAACTTTGCTAAATAAAGTTATTTTGCCCAAGAGGGTCTTTTTCTCCTGCTCGGTAGACCGTCAGCACTTGGAAAAAGTAGTATATGTCTTTTCGGATATGACGCATTTCACTTCTGCGCATGTGCAGTTTTTTCAATGCGTTATATCCTAAAAGACACAACTGTTAAAATGCATTATAACAGACTCCCCAAACTGTTAAAATGTATTATAACAGACTCCACAAACTGTTAAAAAATATATTATAACAGACTCCTCAAACTGTTAAGAATGTATTATAACAGACTCCATATAAATTACCCAACCACACAAGATTCACTAAAATAATACAGTTAAAATAACCGCATTAAAAAATAAGATGTCTTTAATTTTAAAACACGAACAAAAAAAATTCGAAGGAGACGGTTTCTTCTCTGCGCTGACATCTCTCATCCCCAAAGTGGCCAACTTTGTCTCAAACAACAAATCCCTCATTTCCTCAGGAGTAAATATAAGCGATGCAGTTGAAAGAATTACAACATATAAGAGAAATGCGAAATAAAAAAAGTCAATGGTTTTAAAATTATTGGATAGATGTGGTCTGGATTTTTATCAACACTTCCTTCCTTTATTAAAGCGAGGTAACTCTCCTTTGGAAAAAAGTTATTTCAGACCACAATTAATTTTTGTAAACATAAAGCGTGGACTGGTTATGTATGTTTAATATATATGTTGAAACAAGAAAGCTATTTTGATGGAATAAGGATGTGTTTTTCTATCAATTATTCTTTCTGTAGAAGGGAATCATGGGAACAACTGAAAAAGAAATTCAACAATTCAAAATGATCAAACATTGGAACTGTTTCTCCAAATTAAATGTTTCTAAGATGAAACAATTTCCCCCTTTAAGGTCAATTCTTAGAGCGAAAAGTATATTCGAAAGTCTCAGAGAATTAACAAAGGGTGTGTAGTGAGTATCACACAAGGAAGTAAATACGCAATTGTTGACTATATAGGTCAACATAGAATTCACTAGTAATTCATCTCAGAAACACCAATTTGAAGATAGATTCCTTTGTCTGACATCTTGAACTGTTAAAAATAATGAATCTGTAGTGATTTTGGAGATGCTATATATATAGAGGGACTACATATCACACAAGGAAGTAATACGTAATTGTTGACTATATAGGTCAACATAAAAATTCACTAGTAATTCATCTCAGAAACACAAATTTGAAGATAGATTCCTTTGTCCGACATCTTGAACTGTTAAAATAACTCAAACAGATTCCTAGTATCCCTTCATTAGATGGAATAATTAATGAAAAATACAGAACATATTAAAACGCCCTTTATACATATCAAAATGGCTTCCTTGTTTTCTTTATCATCCAGGTTGTAGACAGTTTGTATTAGTCTCTTTTTTTTCTCCTCGAAACTTTTACAATAATCCGAAAACAACCTATCCAAATATGTATCTTTAAAAAAAATTTCATAAAGTGAATCATTTCTATCGCTTTCTCCTATATTAAATCTTTCGTATTAAAAATATATGGTGTTTATTTCATTATTGAACATCCTCCTAAAACGTATTTCGGTGCGGGAGACATTCAAAAGTCATTGGGTTCTCTTCCTGGATTCCCATGGGCAAAATATCCCGGAGAAAAACATCTCCCAGGGCGCAATTATACAGGTCCAGGCGCGAGATTAGATCTACGATTGGATGAAAATGATAATCCCAAACTAGGGGAAGAACCCGTTAATAGAGTTGACGCAGCAGCGCTCAAACACGACATACTGTACAGAAACAAAGACATACATTCAGACACCAAGCAGACAAACAAATGATAGACGAACTTGAAAATATTCCCAATCCCACTTTCAAAGAGAAATTACAAAGGGCTCTTATCATAAAACTCTTGAAGGCAAAATTGAAATAGGGTATGGGCATAGCAGACGAGATTCACAAAGAATTTCGAAAAAACAAACATTACCTCAAAGTCAAAGTTTTTGATAAAGATGAAATTTGGTCAGCCGATTTAATCAACATGCCAGTCGAGAGAGGGTACAAGTATTGTTTGACGGTGATCGACATATACACGTGATACGCTTGGGTCTTTACCTTGAAAAACAAATCGGCTCTGACTGTCAAACAAGCATTCGAAACCATAATGAAACAATCCGACAGACGACCCCTAAAGTTGTGGGTTGATAAAGGAAGCGAATTCTACAACAGAAATGTGAAATCTCTGGGGTTTGAAATTTACAGCACGCATAACGAAGGCAAGGCCGTAGTTATAGAAAGATTCAACATGACTCTTAAAAGCAAATTATTCAAGAAATCCACGGAATTGAAATCTCAAAAATGGCTTAAAATATTACCAGTTGTTGTCGACGAATACAATAACAAAATACATTCGTCTATCGGTGTGACGCCAAAGCAAGCCTCTAATAACCCGAATATCATAAAGTCCGTCAACACTCGAAACAACTTTGAAAACGAGATTAGCAATTTGAATATTAAACCCAAATTCAAAGTTGGAGATCGAGTTCGTATTTTTAAATATAAATCATTGTTTCAGAAAGGTTACGTCGGGTATTAGACTAAGATATTCATCGTAAAGTAAACACCACATCACCTCCCACGTATGAATTGATCGATCAAGACAAAGAACAAATCATAGGAAGGTTTTATCAAAATGAACTTCAAAAAACTGACTTTTAAAAATGAATCTCGAAAATGAAGATTTAGATGAAAGGTTAAGAAATTAAGATGTCGACGAGCATTTACGCTTTCTTAAATTAAAATTTTTTAAATTTAAATGTAAATTTATCTTCAAAATATTATTGAATGTGTTTTATCAGAATGTTATACAAGTTTTTTCAAACACAAACTACGTATATATTTCGTCAATTGGGTCTTCAACAATACTTACCGCATACTCCGAAAAACATAACACCTCAAAATATTTTTAACTTTAATACAAAAAAACTTACTTTTAAAAATGAATGCATTTGTCGATAAATATAAATAATAGATAACCCAAATGTAAACGAGGATAGATTGAAACGAAAACTAACCGCTTTGGAAAGAAAACTTGGCGAATTGCTAGCAGAACTAGACAAGACCGTGGACAAAACTGAGTTACAAAATTCAGTATCCAAATTGAACGAAAAGATCGCGAAGCAAAATTAAGATGTTCAAGATATAATTAACAATCTCGCACATCCCATTGACAAAGATACGTTGAAACGACAATTGACTGCTTTGGATACTAAAATCACGGACGAATTAGAAAAAGAAGTGGGTGTGATAAAAAACTTTCTTCAAAATAAATTTCAAGATGATATCAAAAAATATATTAAAGAACGAGTCAATCTTTTAGTATCTAGAATTCATGAGACGAGAGAGAAAGTTGACCAAATTAGAAGCTATTGTCACGGACAAGTCGTATTATTTCAATCTTCCATTCGAAAGTGACACTGTCTTCGATAGAAAAGACCAAAGTTATAAATCAGACAAATATGGATTCAAAGCAGAAATAAAAGTGGGTTCTCTCGTAGACGGAGAACTTAAAAACGTATTCGATATCGGCGAAACGGAAGCGTTTACTTTTCGAGGTAGATGTCTGATTGGAATAGATTTTCCCATGAAGGTTAAAGTCAATAAAATAGTCTTCAAACAAACCGGTAATGCCGTCAAACATCTTTCATTTTTCAATGATGGTAATTTGGAAGAGACTATACGTTTGATTGAAGATGATTTATATGAAACGAAAAATGGTAAATATGTAGACACCTTTCAAATGGAAGTAGAAATGATAAGGATATCATTGGAATCAAAGATTTAGATATGATATTGGAGACGGAAAATCCACCATCAACCAACATGATCAAAATTCCACCATCACTTATAATACCCGCACACACACCCGGACCAATAGAATCGAGCAGTCACGAGTTTTTACGAACAACAGACTTTGAATACGTAAAACTGTATTTTGTTGTAGGTGGAAAATACACCTCGATCGATGTTCATAAAAGTCAACAAGAAAGAGAGTTTATAGTACATTTATCGTTTGCCGAAGGTTCCGATTCCATCCTTGAAGGTGGTGGTTTTATTTTTAGAGCCAAGATAAAGAATCAAAAAAGAAAAAAGAAAATATTCCTATCATCTTAAAGAGGACCATACGAAAAAAGAAATGTCGTTGTACGCGTAAATGTTGTTACTTTTAAGACCCGAAAATATAATAATGCTAGGCCAAACAAGCACGCTCTATATGATATTCCGTGGTTCTTTTTATCGGAAATTCACTTAATTTAACGACTTAAAAAATGGAACTCGAAAGCAGACAACAATACATGATAGACAAACAAGAAGAGTTGAAAATAAAGTTAAGACAGTGCAATACATGCAGGAAAACATGGAGTAGAATCGATTCTGTTTTCATAACAGCGAGCACAGTTCTAACGGTAGGAGTAACGGTGGCAACGGCCGTGACTGGTGGATTAATGCTTCCGGTCATCGTCCCAACCGTATTGGCTGCATTAACAGCCGTTCAAACGACCTCTTGCGGTCTCATCACTTTAGGTTTCACAAGCAAAAAGAAAGCTCATTATAAAAAGAAAACGGATATCTTGAATATGTATCTTAATCAATTGTACATCTTTTTCGAAAGATCGAGAGAAGACAAGAACATAACAGTTGAAGAATCAGAAGAATTCAATGAAATTTTGGACAAATTCCATACAGAAATATCAGCGGTCAAAATAAAGAAATAATTAAAAATATATACTTAAAAAAATATGAATAAAATCGAACACGATGAAACATTGATAGAAAACGTCCTATTTTCCCATGTTATCAAGGCTGTTTCTAATAAATTTAAAACATTCCAAGGACAAATTAAAATAGATGGAGAGATAGTCGAGGAAGGGAATCACAGACAAAACATGTCATTCCTCGGTTTCAATGCCAAAACTTTTCACAATTTCTTTTCAAATATGGACAAAAAATCTGATGCTTCCGATTGGTATTTTACAGGAAAAATAATTTTAATGAAAGACAATTTCCTAGAAATCAAAAGATCGAGAGTTGGTAGAGGAGGAATTGATCTACTTAAAAAGATAAATGAATACGAAGGTGAAAATTGTTACATACCGATGGTCACTGTTTTATCAAATGCGTCAATCGTGTTTTGAACAAAGATTTAACGTGTAAATGTGGAAATTTCAAGAATACATCAACGGGTTTTCAAAAGCAAATAGAAAAGGAGTGATGACTTGTGCTAGAATGAAGGAATTCAACAAGAAATTTAACACTTCGTTTCAAATTTATAATCCCAAAAACAGATATTTTCATCCCAGAGACGTACATGATGAATTAGATTGGGTTGTTTACTTACACAACTCGCATTTCTGTCTGATTAGAAGAAGCCAAAAAAGTTTGGGAATTCAAGAAATAGAAGACAATTACGAACAGGTGTGGAAAACGTGTAGAGATGATAACGCAGTAACACAGGTTTAACCTCTCAAACTAAACGTGCTTTCAAGTATGAGTGATGATGCGTTATTCGCTTGGTATTGCGAAACGTATTCAGAAAAAGACACGCGAAGAGCAATTCCTTATGCCTGCACTGTAATTAATTTAGAAAAACTAAGAAAAAAGTTAGAAACGATAAAAGATATATTTCTAAATCCTACTGATAATGTTCCAGAATTTTATGATAAACTAATGAATGTAGTAGAAATATTTGTAGGTACAGATTGTATAGATCAAATGTTGAAATATTTAGGTCAATATGATAGAAAGAGATTAATATTAATTTCTCATAACGGTAGTGGTTTTGATAACTGGATCATGCTTAAAAATACAAAAAAACTAACACATTGCCCTTTAAAAACACCCAGGGGAATTCTATCTTTTCCTTTATCTAATCCATACACAGATGAAGATTTACAGAAAAAATGGAAAAGACAGAAAGAAATAAAGGGTAATTATTTACAACATATTAATTTCACATGTTCCTATCAACATGAAAAATCTAGTTTGGCGGCATGGGGAAATTCTTCCAATCTTCCCGCGAATTTGAGAAAGATTGCCGACGTAGATATCGCTAAATTCACGCAAGACAACTGGGAGGAATTGAGACACGAATGGGAACCATATGCAAAAAGGGATACCCTATGTCTTGGAGCTTGTTTGATAAAATATAACCAAGTCATGAAAGAAGTTGTAAACCAGAATATGTCCAATAATCTAACGGCTCCATCTTTATCTTTAAAGGGTTGGTATTATTTATATCATTACGATAAAGAAATGGTTGAAGAAGAATCGTATGAAACTACTAGAATGGTTGCGAAACATACTGATAAAGAAAATATAGAAAAGTTTATTCGCACACTAATCCTTTTATAAGAATTTTTATCAGACGATCTATTAAAGGAGGAAGAGTTTCGGCAAATAGAAAATCATTTGAAACGAACAAAATGGATGAAATTTGTAATGTATTAAAGGAATATACAGAACTTGAAAGTTATAACGTAATTGATGTATTAAAAGAATACAGTGCAAGCACAAAAGACAAAACGGAGGTTCATTCGAGACTTCAAAAAATAAACTGTACTAAACTAATGGCATTTGATGCTAACGGTTTATACGCTTCAGCAATGTCGGCTTTAGACAGTGAATATCCGAGAGCAGAAAGTGGAAGACCGTTTCTACCAGAAGAAGAAAAAGAATTTGTAAAACTCTTCAATAAACAAAAATTCAGACCCAGAACAGCTATTTTAACAGTGTGGTTTGAGTATCCCAAAAACATGTTCTTCCAACCGATACCAGCTAAAGATAAAATCACTTTCACGAATAAAGAAGGTAAAAAGGAAACGGGTAACAAAATCAGGTTCAGAAATGGTTTCTGTCACGACGTTTTAACATCGGTTGATATTCAAGAAATAGTAAAAGGCGGTGGACGAATTATTAGAATAGAGTTTAATTTTGAGAGATCTAAGAAATAAATATAAACGAGAAGGTAATATCAGTGGGTAGTAATTGCATGAAATTATTAGGTAATTCCTTGTATGGTAAATCAATTCAGAAAGATATATTCACAACTAGACATTTATGGAAAGAAGCAACTTTACAGGCTAACTTTGATTCACGTGTTAAAACCTATGAGAAAATTAATGATACTCAATATATTGTTGAAACAGAAATTGAAGAAAAAGAGATTACTACCGAAGATAGTAAATCTACACGACTAACACCTAGTCATTTGGGATCATTCGTTTTATCTCACAGTAAAAAAATAATGAACAATTTCATTCACGTCATAAATGGATTTTATAAACCCGAAATATACTATACCGACACCGATAGTTTGTACATTTCATCCAACAATTGGAAAAAACTAAACAGAGCTGGTTTGGTCTCCGAAAAAGACTATTGCAAAGGTAAAAACGATTACGGTTACGGTGGAATTATATTTGGTTTATATTTAGCACCAAAAGTCAAATACAACATCGTTTTGACTTCTGATGGTGTTTTAAAAGAAAAGAAAACGTTTAAAGGTTATTCTAATGATAAGATAAGTGTAGAAGATTACGTTCAGTTAGCAAGCGGACATGATGTGTCGAATGAATTTAATCGATGTCGTTTTCGATGTTGGCGTTGTGTGGCGCCAATGTCGATTGCGCGTATATTCGTTTATCGAACCCTAGTAACGCATTCAACGCATTTTCTACGTTAAAATCGATTTGACTTTTTTTTCTCAAGATCAGTTTTATTTTGTTCAGATTCAAATTACCTTCGAATTCGATATGGTTTTTACCGCTCACGCTTCCTGCGTATTCGGATAGGTAATCGTTGATGGCTACGTATTCGTAGCTTCCCGGTAGTAAGCTTATGGTTTTGAACGTAACTCCGTTATCCGTCGATATTTTTAGTTGATTGTTGTTTTCGTTGATATTTCTAATGGAATTGTAAACGGAGAAATACTTTAATCCCAGTTCGTACTGTTTATTGCGATCGAGTTCATACTCGTAGTCTAGAGACAATTTGATGTCTGATTTATTCGAGGTGATAACGAACAATTGCTCTTTATTGGACATTTTTAATGACGTTTATATAGTCTTTTTTAGTGATGATTTTTTTCTCCAAAAGTCGTTTTAATATGCCATTGACTTCGTTGTATTGTCTGTCCGATCGATGACCTTCCTTCATGGCCGCTAATATTACTCGTAATCTATTAACTAGTTCCTCGTTGTTGTCGGATAAAAAAGTTATACCTTGCCCAGATGCCACCATATCATCGAATTCGTCTATTTCTTGTATGATTGGATAATCTTCTGCATAATCATCTACATCCTCTTCCTCAATTGTTATATATAAATCAACTTCTTTCAATCTTCCTGTTTCGGGTCCTGACTTTCTGATCGCATGTCGAAATTTTGAGTATGCTACTAAATCCTTGTAATCGGCAATTTTAACTTCCTCGCCATTCGTTAAATCTATTAACCCTCCCGTTAATGTAAATATAAAGTCTTTTGTGTCGATTTTGAATTGTGGTGAATTTCAACAAAATCTTATTCTAAAACCATTAAACAATAACCCTTCATCATCAACGATTGGTGAAATGCTCTTTGGTAAATCTGGGTCAGGGTTTGAAAAAAGACGTTTTATATCATCTAATGTCTTAATACCACCATATTCAATCGGTGGATCTTTATGGGGTGAAGGTTCTATAGGAGACTCCAGTCTCTTTTTAATATCTTCTTGACTTTTTAATATTGTTTGAAATAGAGTCTGTAGATTTTCCGTTAATCTGAGTTGTTGTAATCTGTTATTTTCAACTTGGGTCTTTATTTTATTCTTAGCTTTGATATATTCTCTATTTCTTTTTAAAATATTATTCCAATCCGTCATTTTTAAGAAAAGAGAATTAACATATGTCGATCATAACTCTTTCTCCCGCAGGTTTTCTAGTATTAACAAATACATATCCATGATCATCAGGGTTTCTCCATTGAGCTTTATAAACCTTTATAAACGTATCTCTGTCCATTCCGTGATTTATCGACTGAATGATTTGAGATAAATCTTTGTCGTTTAATTCGAATAATAAAAACAATTTGCGTTCTTTCTGATAAACATGGCGTCCATTCCGTAGAAAGATTTGGATTGGTATATGCAGTGACAGTTGTGATGTCTTCCTTTCGTGAAGAATTCTTGTTGAACGGTTTGACTTTTTTGGTTGTCGATTTTAGACAAGTCTAAATCGTTGACGTTTTTAGTCAGAAACACTTTGACGTCGGTCGATTTCAGAGAAGGATTCTTTTCTTTGATAAAGCCGTCTAAATTGTCTTTTATTTCCGCGTTCTCTTGCAAGTCTTTGTTGCTTTCGTAGCAGTGAAAAATGTCTCGAACTTCTTCTTTCGAGACGTATTCCAAAGCTTTGAGAAACTGATAATAGGATTGTTCGGGAGTAGTCGTGTAAATATACAGAGACTCGAAATCTAAAAGGTTCGGTGTTGTCAACATGTTAAAAGTGAGGTAAGTCTTTCCACAACCCGAAGATACGCAAATGCACATGAGCATGGGGTTGCTAGGAAATATATCCGAATGTTTGTATTTCTTGCCCATTTTTATTTATTACATTTTCGTACCAAAAATCACCCCGTTGCCTTTATACTTTGAAAGGAAGATTCCCTCGCCCGAACGTATGTTTTTAAAAAATATGGCGTTGCCCTTGTGTTTGACTTTTATTTCTCCGGTGTCGATATTATCTATTAATTTGCTTAATCCCTTTAACGGTTTTCTTGGTACGAATTCTTTAACCGTCCATAATATATCTCCTACTCCCGAACCTCTTCGTGCTTCTCTTTCCATTGCCAAATTGTGTCTACGTGCTTCGGCGTTTGCAGCGGCTTACGCTTTCTTATCGTTGACAGCTTTGGCTATCCCAGCAGCCCCACCAGCAGTTGCTCCTGCTGCAGCTAAACCAGCAAAGATTAAAGGTAAGAAAGGTAAAAATCCTACTTTTTTAGTTAAATTCTGATCAATTCTTTCCAAGTCTATATCGTCTCTGACTTTGCAATGTTTGTATTTATCGATAATCTTTTGGGTTATGTGCACTTTTTTACCGTTGTAAGTTATTAGAGTCGGCGAATTCGTTTCCATAGCTTCTATTATTTTCATAACTAAAGTTTCTGGTTTCATTTTTAAAGGGTGTTTTTTTATTCAATTCTTATCATTCTTCTATCTGATATTTTAATCAAATGTTTTGCTTCTTCCAGCAATAAACAGTAGCAGGTGTTTTTCTATGTGAATATTTATGTTTACCCCTGTTTTGAAAAGATCTTCTTGATGAGCTGACAGATCGAAACAAAAGATTGGATGATTGAGTGAAAAATCTGTGTATTCAAACTGAGGCGTATTTCCAAACAATTCGCACATGTTTTTATAGTTTCTGTACAATTTGTTGTAATCTTTTTTGGAAGGATCAATTGTCAAAGGTTGATTGGGATAATTATCGTTGTTCAATCTGACTTGAACTTTGCGAATGATGGGATCTTGAGTATGGTTCAATGCCACTCTGAAAATGTTGTTGTTGTTTGTCTGAGAGTCTGGTAAGTTTTTGAAACCGACCATTAGATATCTCGCTGGTTTGACGGTGTTGGTGATTGGCCACGTTGTGGATTCTCCCGTTAAAGTCATGCTACCTACCGTGTTACGACGAAGAAAAGCAATTTCGATGTCTTTGGTTAAAGAGTTGAATATTCTCGTTTCCACTTCTACGGAAGGAGTGATTACCGGTATGTAAAGTTGGATATTCGTTATTTCCAATTTTGCGTCAGAGTTGTTTTCACCAAAGAATATCTTGTTGTCGTTGATTTCTCTTTGCAAATGAATTTTATACGGCAAACCTATGGAAACCTTTCTGTGTTCCAAGAGACCAAATAAAGGATACAACTTCCAATTTACGTAATTACCCCATCTGTTGTTCTCGACAACATTGTTGTATTGAAGCGCTCGTTTTTCAAATCCGTGATTTACTCCGCGAGACACTCTTTCCAGTGTGTTTCTAGCAACTACCCTTATCCTAGCAAGGTCTGCGTCATTTGCTACAGTTCTGACCGGTTCTTTTAAAACTTCTCCGTCACCGACATCGGGAATCCATCCCGAAACTGAATCGTAGATTTTGGGATACAGAACCGTTTTCAACATTGTGTCAAACTCGCCGGGGTGAGTCTCTATCGTCTCTATGGTCTCTATCGGATTTGAACCAGCTTCCAAAACCATTTCGCTGAATAAAGACGGAAAGAAGTTGTTTTCTAAAGTCGTGTTGGTTTGTGGAATTCGATTCTGAGTGGCGTCTTTGATTTTGAAATCGCATCGGAAATGGGCATCGGAAAGCAGCAACCAATTGGACAACAAATTAATTTCAAAGGTAACTCTTCCTCCGTCGTTTATTTGGGTCTTTGTCCCTACCGATGGTGAGATGATTACGTAGTCCTCTTTCTTCTTGTTGAACGAATATTGAATCGGATCATACAATTGAAAGATTGGATCCAATCTGTAATTTTTGCTTGCCATTTTTATCCAATGATTTTAAACCCTTTTCCTTGTTTTTCTAGGGCTTGTCGTTCTAGTCTCTTGTTTCTTAGATCTCTTATTAGCTGCAGTTGCAGTTCGTCAGATTTTTTCACTGCATCGCTTATATTTACTCCTGCTTTTGCTACAGATCCAAGAGCTTGCGCTTCTGAGGAAATGAGGGATTTGTTGTTTGAGACAAAGTTGGCCACTTTGGGGATGAGAGATGTTAGCGCAGAGAAGAAACCGTCTCCTTCGAATTTTTTTTGTTCGTCTTATTTTTTAATGCGGTTATTTAATACTGTATTATTTTAGTGAATCTTGTGTGGTTTGGGTAATTTATATGGAGTCTGTTATAATACATTTTTAACAGTTTGAGGAGTCTGTTATAATATATTTTTCAACAGTTTGGAGAGTCTGTTATTATACATTTGAACAGTTTGGGGAGTCTGTTAAAATACATTTTAACAGTTTGGGGAGTCTGTTATAATACATTTTAACAGTTGTGTCTATTCGGATATGACGCATTGAAAAAGCTGCGCAAGCGCATAAGTGAAGTGCGTCATATCCGAAAAGACATATACTACTGGAAAAACACACCAAAGCAAAGGAAAAACGATTACTGCAAAAATGCAAGTTTCCTATAGGACCTAACTTTGCCAAATAAAGTTATTTTGACCAAGTGTTAGGTCTTTTCCTGCTCGTTAGATCGTCAGCACTTGCATAAACACACCAAAGCAAAGGAAAGACGATTACAGCAAAAATGCAAGTTTCCTATAGGACACATAGATCGAAAATGCCAAGACCTAACTTTGCCAAATGGGGTTATTTTGCCCGAGTGTTGGGTCTTGTCCTGCACGGTAGACCGTCATCACTTGGAAAAACACACCAAAGCAAAGAAAAAACGATTACAGCAAAAGTGCAAGTTTCCTATAGGCCACATAGAGCGAAAATGCCAAGACCTAACTTTGCCAAATAAAGTTATTTTGCCCAAGTGTTGGGTCTTTACCTGCTCGGTAGACCGTCAGAACTTTTAAAAACACACCAAAGCAAAGGAAAAACGATTACAACAAAAATGCAAGTTTCTTATAGGCCACATACAGCAAAAATGCCAAGACCTAACCTGGCAAATAAAGTTATTTTGCCCAAGTGTTGGGTCTTTTCTTGCTCGGTAGACCGTCAGCACTTGCTAAAATAAACACCAAAGCAAAGGAAAAACGATTACAGAAAAAATCCAAGTTTCTTATGGGACACATAGAGCAAAAATGCCAAGACCTAACTTTGACAAATCGGGTTATTTTGCCCAAGTGTTGGGTCTTTTCCTGCTCGGTAGACAGTCAGCACTTGCAAAAACACACCAAAATAAAGGAAAAACGATTACAGCAAAAGTGCAAGTTTCCTATAGGCCACATAGAGCCAAAATGCCAAGACCTAACTTTGCCAAATAAAGTTATTTTGCCCAAGTGTTGGGTCTTTACCTGCTCGGTAGACCGTCAGAACTTTTAAAAACACACCAAAGCAAAGGAAAAACGATTACAGCAAAAATGCAAGTTTCCTATAGGCCACATACAGCAAAAATGGCAAGACCTAACTTTGGCAAATAAAGTTATTTTGCCCAAGTGTTGGGTCTTTTCCTGCTCGGTAGACCGTCAGCACTTGCTAAAACACACCAAAGCAAAGGAAAAACGATTACAGAAAAAATGCAAGTTTCCTATATGACACATAGAGCAAAAATGCCAAGACCTAACTTTGCCAAATCGGGTTATTTTGCCCAAGTGTAGGGTCTTTTCCTGCTCGGTAGGCCGTCAGCACTTGCAAAAACTCCAAAGCAAAGGAAAAACGATTACAGCAAAAATGTAAGTTTCCTATGGGACACACATGTCAAGACCTAAATTTGCCAAATGGGGTTATTTTGCCCAAGTGTTGGGACTTTTTCTCCTCGGTAGACCGTGAGCACTTGGAAAAACACACCAAAGCAAAGGTAAAACGATTACAGCAAAAATGCAAGTTTCCTATAACACACATATAGCGAAAATGCCAAGACGTAACTTTGCCAAATGGGGTTATTTTGACAAATTGTTGGGTCTTTTCCTGCTCGGTAGACCGTCAGCACTTGCAAAAACACAATAAAGCAAAGTTAAAACCATTACAGCAAAAATGCAAGTTTCCTATAGGCCACATAGATCAAAAATGCCAAGACCTAACTTTGCTAAATAAAGTTAATTTGCCCAAGTGTTGGTTCTTTTCCTGCTCGGTAGCCGTCAGCACCTGCACAAACACACCAAAGTAAAGGAAAATCGATTACAGCAAAAATGAAAGTCTCCTATAGGACATATACAGCGAAAATGCCAAGACCTAACTTTGCCAAATGGAGTTATTTTGCCCAAGTGTTCGGTCTTTTTCTGTTCCGTATACCGTCAGCTCTTGGAAAAACAAACCAAAGCAACGGAAAATCGATTACAGCAAAAATGAAAGTCTTCTATAGGACACAAAGATCGAAAATGCCAATACCTAACTTTGCCAAATGGGGTTATTTTGCCCAAGTGTTGGGACTTTTCCTGCTCAGTAGACCGTTAGCACTTTCAAAAATACACCAAAGCAAAGGAAAAACGATTACAGCAAAAATGCAAGTTTCCTATAAGCCACATGCAGCAAAAATGCCAAGACCTAACTTTGTCAAATAAAGTTATTTTGCCCAAGTGTTGGGTCTTTTCCTGCTCGGTAGACCGTCAGCACTTACAAAAACACACAAAAGCAAAGGAAAAACGATTAATGCAAAAATGTAAGTTTCCTATAGGACACAAAGATCGAAAATGCCAATACCTAACTTTGCCAAATGGGGTTATTTTACCCAAGTGTTGGGTATTTTCATGCTCGGTAGAACGTCAGCGCTTGGAAAAACAAACCAAAGCAAAGGAAAAATGATTACAGCAAAAATGCATGTTTCCTATAGGCCACATAGAGCGAAAATGCCAAGACCTAACTTTGCCAAATGGGGTTATTTTGCCTAAGTGTTGGGTCTATTCCTGCTCGGTAGACATTCAGCACTTGCAAAAAACACACCAAAGCAAAGGAGAAACGATTACAGCAAAGTGCAAGTTTCCTATAGGCCACATACAGCAAAAATGCCAAGACCTAACTTTGCCAAATCGGGTTATTTTTGCCCAAGTGTAGGGTCTTTTCCTGCTCGGTAGGCCGTCAGCACTTGCAAAAACTCCAAAGCAAAGGAAAAACGATTACAGCAAAAATGTAAGTTTCCTATAGGACACACATGTCAAGACCTAAATTTGCCAAATGGGGTTATTTTGCCCAAGTGTTGGGACTTTTTCTCCTCGGTAGACCGTGAGCACTTGGAAAAACACACCAAAGCAAAGGTAAAACGATTACAGCAAAAATGCAAGTTTCCTATAACACACATACAGCGAAAATGCCAAGACGTAACTTTGCCAAATGGGGTTATTTTGACAAATTGTTGGGTCTTTTCCTGCTCGGTAGACCGTCAGCACTTGCAAAAACACAATAAAGCAAAGTTAAAACCATTACAGCAAAAATGCAAGTTTCCTATAGGCCACATAGATCAAAAATGCCAAGACCTAACTTTGCTAAATAAAGTTAATTTGCCCAAGTGTTGGTTCTTTTCCTGCTCGGTAGCCGTCAGCACCTGCACAAACACACCAAAGTAAAGGAAAATCGATTACAGCAAAAATGAAAGTCTCCTATAGGACATATACAGCGAAAATGCCAAGACCTAACTTTGCCAAATGGAGTTATTTTGCCCAAGTGTTGGGTCTTTTTCTGTTCCGTATACCGTCAGCTCTTGGAAAAACAAACCAAAGCAACGGAAAATCGATTACAGCAAAAATGAAAGTCTTCTATAGGACACAAAGATCGAAAATGCCAATACCTAACTTTGCCAAATGGGGTTATTTTGCCCAAGTGTTGGGACTTTTCCTGCTCAGTAGACCGTTAGCACTTTCAAAAATACACCAAAGCAAAGGAAAAACGATTACAGCAAAAATGCAAGTTTCCTATAAGCCACATGCAGCAAAAATGCCAAGACCTAACTTTGTCAAATAAAGTTATTTTGCCCAAGTGTTGGGTCTTTTCCTGCTCGGTAGACCGTCAGCACTTACAAAAACACACAAAAGCAAAGGAAAAACGATTAATGCAAAAATGTAAGTTTCCTATAGGACACAAAGATCGAAAATGCCAATACCTAACTTTGCCAAATGGGGTTATTTTACCCAAGTGTTGGGTATTTTCATGCTCGGTAGAACGTCAGCGCTTGGAAAAACAAACCAAAGCAAAGGAAAAATGATTACAGCAAAAATGCATGTTTCCTATAGGCCACATAGAGCGAAAATGCCAAGACCTAACTTTGCCAAATGGGGTTATTTTGCCTAAGTGTTGGGTCTATTCCTGCTCGGTAGACATTCAGCACTTGCAAAAAACACACCAAAGCAAAGGAGAAACGATTACAGCAAAAGTGCAAGTTTCCTATAGGCCACATACAGCAAAAATGCCAAGACCTAACTTTGCCAAATAAAGTTATTTTGCCCAAGTGTTGGTTCTTTTCTTGCTCGGTAGTCCGTCAGCACTTGCAAAAACACACCAAATCAAAGTAAAAAACGATTACATCAAAAATGCAAGTTTCCTATAGGCCACATACAGCAAAAATGCCAAGACCTAACTTTGCCAAATAAAGTTATTTTGCCCAAGTGTTGGTTCTTTTCTTGCTCGGTAGTCCGTCAGCACTTGCAAAAACACACCAAATCAAAGTAAAAAACGATTACATCAAAAATGCAAGTTTCCTATAGGCCACATACAGCAAAAATGCCATGACCTAACTTTGCCAAATAAAGTTATTTTGCCAAAGTGTTGGGTCTTTTCCTGCTCGGTAGACAGTCAGCACTTGCAAAAACACACCATAGAAAAGTAAAAACGATTACAGAAAAAATGCAAGTTTCCTATAGGCCACATAGAGCAAAAATGCCAACACCTAA